TTGAACCACCAGCCTTCTGGTGAGCAGTCAAGTGCCTTAGGCACTATGCTACCAGAGCTCCTAATATATATATTATATATATATATATTTGCAGTGTTTCCTCACCTTCCTTCCCACCCTTGGGGGAAAGAATTATTTTTAGAATTGAATTGTTCTAGTAAATGTGCACCCGAGGGACTACTTCAAGTTCCAGAGGATTCCTCTATTTATAATCAAGTTGTGTCTGCTCTGAATATATCTCTGACTTCTCCATTATATTTGATATAAACTCCCAGATAAAGATGTTGATGCTCTACCTGATTGTGAATGGGCTAAATATTGCACTGACATAGGAAAAATAATAATTAAAGTAAAGATATTGAAAAAAGGACCTATTACTCGGGACCACAGTCTCAGGGGACATCATGTTCAATTGGCACAATACAATACATAAAAATTTTGTCCTACATTCTACTTTGGTGAGTAGCAACTGGGCTCTTAAAAGCTTTCAAATGGACATCTAAGATTCAAATATTGGTCTCCTGTCATCTGGAGCAAAGAAGAGTGAAGAAAATCAAAGTTATTTGGAAACAATTAGTCCAAAGATAAGATGGACCATGAGGATCTCAGCCTTCATGACCCCAAGACCAGAAGAACTGGATGATGCCTGGTCACCAGTGCCAACCACTTGGAAAGAGATCAAAACTGGAGATCCTGGATGGAGTGGGAAGAAAAATGTGGAACAAAAATTCAAAAACACAAAAATGACCAGAATTACTGGTTGGATAGAGATGTGGAACCCCTGAGACTGTAGCCCTGAGTTACCTTTCAGGCCTACAAACGGACTCACTTTTGTGGATTGGCTCTCAACCCAACAGTAGAAAGACCTACCTGCAAAACACCCACCCCAAGGTGATGCACCCACCTACTCTATAAAGATGCACCCCTTAGATCAATCAGCCATGAGACATCACAGGGGCAGCATGCACGTAGAGGGAGAGCTGGGCAGACAGCAATGCATAGATAAGAAGGGCACAGGGAGGGGGGTAGTCACAGGGAGGAGAGAGGAGGGATGGTAGTTGGAGCCATGAAATCAAATGTGCATCAGCTGTTGAGAGTAAAATCTGCTTTGTAAATCTGCACCCCAAGCACAATGAATAAAATAAAAAGTAAAAAAAATAAAAGAACCTATTAAAGTACAGATAGATCCTATCAAACCATTACTCAAACAGCCTTAATATCCCTTGAAGCAACAAGGAAAGAAAGTGATAGTTGTAAGCCATATGCAAAGGCCTACTCATAACCTGTACCAGCCCTTGAATTTCTGTCCTGCCAGTAAAGAAACCAAACACTTGAGCAATGAATGCTAGTGGTAGGAGAATAATCCAGAAGAGGATAAGAACGGTTGCACAAATTGAAAATGGTTACACAGTAAAAATGTAGTCCATGTCATTGAATTATACATGTAGAGATGATTGAATTGCTCTATGTTTTGCTGTGTATATTTTCAATTACAAAAATAAAATACAGAAAAAAAAAAAAAGAAAGAAACCAAACACATGATGATATCAATTGTTCAAGACCTCATGACTTTTTTCCACCAGGGCTCTGCCTGTCTACATGTCTCATCTATCTCAACACCTGCCTCTTGCCCCACCGTCTTTGGGGCACTTGCACCTAACTCAGTCTATAGGCATTCCCTGCATCCCATTCAACAAGAGGCAAAACATCCTTCACATGTGTGAACTCTGCATTTTTGCGCTTTACCTCCCATATGTCATCAAAAGACACATTCTACTCCCAAATTCCTTGCCTCAGCAATATGGGACAGCAGCAGGGCTGGACTACTGGTTGTCCTGAGAACAAAAGTTATACACTTACCTTGCCCTAGAAGCAGCAGCAGCAGCCCCAGGAGAAAAATGCTTGGCTGCAGCCCCATGCCAGGTGTCTCTGGCTTCTGGATGAAGTGATTCAGCAGCTGGATGGGCTAGCACGTTTCTTCCGGCTTTTATAAGCTCCTCTGTGGTCTGATAGTGTACCTGTCATAAATTTTACAGTTTTCACCTTTGAAAGGGGGCATTGGCTAGCTATAAATGATAAATATTAACATTCAGGCAGAAGATTGCTTGAGGCAGATGGGTCAAAGATGGGTAGCATGTTCTAATCACAGGCACTAAAAGGTCAGGACTCTATAGTTCCCTTCATCTGGGCTGCCATGATGCTGGGTGCCCCAAAATTGCCAGTGCTGGGGGACAGGTCAGCTGGAAAGAGCATAAGCCTGGGAACTCAGGATCTTGGCTAGAATTCCAACTCAACCATAGCTATAGGGACTTGAGCAAGCTAAGTGACCTCAGTTTTCTCAGTGGCAGCTGTGGAGATAAAAGGCACAAAGGGAGTGAAAGTACTTGGTAAACCATAAACAAAATCAAAACCAAACCAGTTGCCGTGAAGTCAGTTCCTCATGGTATCCCTGTAGGACAGAGTAGAACTGCCCTATAGGGTTTCCAATGCTATACTCTTTATAGAAGCAGACTAACACATCTTTCTCCTGCAGAACAGCTGGTGGGTTCAAACCATTGACCTTTTGGCCAGCAGCCAAGCGCTTTACCCACTGTGCCACCAGGGCTCTGGTAAACCATAAACTACTTCCAAATATGAGATCTCTTCTCTCTGGTCAGAAACGTGTCCCCACTTTGTCTTAGGAACACCACTGGGATCCCTGATCTGCATCATCCAGAGAGGCTTGTTTCTGCCCCATCTCTACCCCCAAAATTCATCATGGGAGAGTGTTGGACGATGTGCACACCATACATTCATTGCCTGCACGTTGAATTGAGAGGTGCAGGCCAGAGGGGTGAGCTGTGGAACTGGGTTTGATAGAATCAGCAGTTGCCTTTGGGCAAACTCAGTGGGGAATGCTGGGCTAAGTCTAAATGGGGCAAGCAGAGCTGGAATTTAAAGCCTCCTGAATAACAAAATGCTCTTGAGGGTGAAATTTGAAATTTCTCTCTGACAAATATCAAGGCACAATTGCCTTTGTTTAATGTTAATAAATATACTTAAGTCATCCTTGCATTCCGGTCACCTTTGAGACCCCTGACTTCCAAGACCTTAGCTAGGACTGTGGTGCTGTTATCAGCTTCAGATATTGACCTGCTGGCTGATCCAGCCATTGTACTCAAATTTTAAAAATCATAGTTATAGCTCTGTAGTCTTGAATATAAAGTGAAGACTAAGGGGGAGGCCTGTTGCTCCTGGCTCCCTGAGTTTAGCACATTGTCTTTCTTTTTCATCGGCTCAGAAAAATGTGGCTTACTGGTGACTACTGACTTCATCATGCCTCAGCTCCGCACTGGGGTCTCAACCACACCAGAAACATGTGGGTACTGACACATCCAGCCCAACTAGCCATCATGCTGGTCCTAGAGTCAGGCAGAGAGTGGCACACAGAGAAACAGAAGAAGCAAATACACTCAGTGTTGAGGCCTGCAGCAACCATTTGGGTATAGATGCTCCTGAGAACCCACATGCTTGTAATCTTCATTAAATTGCCCACAAGTTCAATGAGAGACACAGGACTGATGCTCCCCAATAAGGCTGTTAGAGGTCCACTCAGCTCCACACCAAGAACTTAGAGGAGTATCACAGAGGCTGTGTAAATTGAGTGAGTGTTCATAGGTCCCAATGCTTAGACCAGGTGCAGGCAAGATAAGAAATGCACAGAAATAACTTGGCTCAGAAACCCAAGGAGGGGTCACTATGAATCAGATCTGACTTGATAGCAGTGAGTTTGGCTTTTTGTTGTTGTTGTTGTTTATAATCCAGTTTACTCCCATTTCTTACTGCTTCTCCATGTGACCACAATGGTCCAACTGGGCTGGCCCACACACCATTCTCTAGTCTCTTTTACACTCAGAAAAATTGAGAAATGAAAACATTTTTAACCCTATGAAGCCTCTTGGTATAAGGTAGATTGAACTTCCTCTTAAATATAAGAAATCTTTAAGTTCCATCAATGCCTCAAGGAATCCTTACTGACTCTGAAGCAATGAGAGAGGTAACACTTGTTGGGCATCCTTACTAGGCATTGTGGTGGGATCTTTTCATATGTTAGCTTAATTAACACCTACTATCTATCTGGTAGGAGCTCTGCTAGCATAGTGGCTAAGGCACTTGACTGCTAACCAGAAGGCTGGTGGTTCAAACCCACCAACCACTCCTCGGAAGGAAGGTTGGGCAATCCTACTTCCGTAGTGATACTGCCTCGGAAACCCAAGGAGGGGTCGCTATGAGTCAGGTCTGACTTGACGGCACATAACAACAACAACACTTGACGGCACATAACAACAACAACATCTATCTGGTGCAGAGAGTTTGCACTGAACTACTAACCTAAGGGTTGGTGGTTAACTCATCCAGTGACACTACAGGAGAAGGGCCTGCTGGTCTGCTTCCATAAGATTACAGCCAACAATATTCCATGGAACAGTTCTACTCTGTAACACATGGGTTCACCATGAGTTGTAATTGACTTGACAGCATTTTTTTTTTTTTTTAATTTACGTGGTCCCTCCAAAAACAAATCAAACTCACTGCCATCGAGTCAATTCCAACTCATAGAGACCAGTATTGGGTTTCCCAGGCTGCAAATCTTTACAGAAGGAGACCGCCTCATCTTCCTTTCAAAGAGTGGCTGGTGGATTGGAACCACCGACCTTTTAGTTAGCAGCCAAATGTCTTAACCAGCACACCACCAGAGCTCCTGGTGGTCCACCAGCAGCTGTGAAAACAAGAGAAAATTTTGTCATTAACAGTCAGAGAAGGGTTCCATCACTTGTCTATAAACTTTTGCTCTCTGCTTTTTGCTGTTAAAGTCAACATGTTTTACCCCAGAGTAGGAAAGAAGCTCCACTTAGATTTTTAGCAACCATCAATAGACAATCTTTTTGGGAAAGGCATAGGCCTGCAAATTCACATCTTTTAGAGATGGTAATCTGTGTCCTGCTCTGAAGGTTGCGTCTCACTCGATTGCTAACCAGAAGGCTAGTGGTTCAAACCCACCAGCCACTCCTCAGTAAGTTTGCTCAGTGACATGAAAAAGCCAAGTATTTGCTGTTGTCCAGGAATCCACAAGAGGGTGCTAGACCAAGCCTCAGCCGCCGGCCATGGGGATTAAAGCAGCACAGCCCTTGAAGTGTGTTTTCCAAACTGAAGTTTGCAACCTATTATTATGCCAAGATTTAATTTGGTAGATGATTAGCCCATTTATTAAAAATTGAATAGAATAGAAAATATCTGAAGACATTGCACAGGAAAGGGTAAGTGACGTTTCAGGAAATTTGTTTCAGCTATATGTAGTGATGCAAAATGTAGTGTTTTTAATGTGGGTCATGGTCGGAGAAATGTGAAAATCACTACCTTGGAGAATAGTAGATCCAGAATGCTCTACTTGCTAAAGATTCTAATGTTTTGGATTAGGGAAGTGTGGTCTGATGCACAACAGCAGGTGAAGCAACGTCCTAGGGAGACAATCTTTTCACAAAGCAATCTCTAGACTTTGAGAAAAAGAACAGAGGTTTTTTTTTTTTTTTCTTCTCTGGATAAACAGGAAGCTAAACTTGAGTCTTCCCTTGCACTAGAGCAGAAGCAATGCCTGAAAATGGCTCTGGGCCTTGAGCAGAAAGATAAGTTCAAGTCAAGCTTTTTAGTGGTTGTGAGCAGAGAGTAAGTCAATTGTCCTCTTCTTTTGAAAAGGAAATCCTTGTCCCTGACACCTGGGTAAGCTCTGACCATATGATGGGATGTGGGCACCTGTAGCTGTCATCTTGACAAGTACTCATTGGATGTCTATTCATGGAAGACACCCAACTGGAAGAAGGAAGATATGCCCCAAACTGTGGGAAGGGTGAAACCAGCTAGAGTTCCATCTACTCAGAATAATCCACATCTATTTCAGAAGGACTTGGGAATTGACTGCCCAAGTTTCAGCTTTTCTGTAAAGCACTGTAACACAACTAGATTCAATAAATACTTGAATCAGTCAAACTGCTTGTTTTGTCGATTATGCTTAGGGAAAAGTGAATGAATATAAACCAGAAGAAATCAAACTATCATAAATTCAGAGAGTCTCAAAGTTGAAAGGACCCTTTGAAGTCAACTAATCAGACCAGCAAATAGATTCTTCAACTCTCGCTACAGTTTTCCTGCAGTCAATTGCCAGGCCCTTTCTGACTGCCACTAACTCCCATGGAAAGCTCTCCTTTGACAGACTGTCCTACTTGTTAGAAGATCCTAATGTATCAGGTTAGGGAAGAGCAATTGGATGCAGGTACTAGCAGGCAGGCAAAGTCCTAGTGAGAGAATTTAGGACTCCTCAGGCCCCCTCCTCCTCAGGCTGTCAGGTAAGACCTGCCATAATGTAGTTCCTATCTTGATTTGGGGTGATGGTTGAAGTCAAGGATAGGCTGAAGGATAATTTGGTCATATTGTCAGATGGGACTGGTCCCTGGAGAAGGATATCATGCTTGTTAAAATAGAGGGTCAGTGAAAAGGAGGAAGACTCAACAAGATGGACTGACACAGTGGCTGCTACCTTGGGCTCAAGCATAGCAAATATTCTGTGGATGGTGCAGGACCCAGTAGTGCTGTTCTGGTGCACATAGGGTTGCTATGAGTCAGAGCCAATTGACTTCACAGCACCTAACATCAACTCTGGTAGCATAGTGCCTAAGGTACTTGACTGCTAACCAGAAGGCTGGTGGTTCAAACCCACCAGTCATTCCTCAGAAGGAAGGTTGGGCAATCTACTTCTGTAGTGATACCACCTCAGAAACCTAAGGAGGGGTCACTATGAGTCGGGGCTGACTTGATGGCACATAACAACAACAACAACAACAACAAGCCCCCTCCTTCCCAAGCTGCCAGTTAAGATCTGCTACA